AATTTAACTATCATGTATGAGTAGTGGGAATTCCTTTGTAGGATTAGTTTTAGAATGACGGAATACTTATCTTTGATAATATACAGTAATGACTAGTGTCCTTGATCCGCAAGAAAAAGAGCCGTCATCTTATGACAGTACATTTTATCGGAGAACTAATCAAATGACGTCTATCATATTTATCAACTAAAATCTATTCACCTATATAGCTAAGAAGTATTCTCCTACTATAGGTAATGTCATTTCGTGATGAAAATCCTAACTAAAAAACCGTCTCTATATCTACACTTCACTCCCACTTGGGATACTGTGGGAACTTTTATCAATCTATTTGGATCCCTTCAAGTGTTTGAGATGGACAATTTTTTATCCATAAGAACCAGTTGATATGTCATTGTTTCTTTTTTCGACTGAAAGGATTGTCAAAAATTTGTTTGCACCTTATGATGCATTCTTTTCCATAAACTATCTATTTATAAAAGTTGTCTCCTGGTTGATTGGAAATTTGTCACGATTTTTTTAAGGTTTGTCTTTATACCATTTTTTCCTGCCAATATAATCTCCTGAATGTGTGTGCTACTGATATCAACAGAGATAAATAGTATATGTCACCAGTCGAAAGTGGAATACCTGACAGCAAAAATGTTAAGAAGGTAGAAGAGAAGGGAACAAGAACAGAGAATGATTGGTATAAAAATGAAGGAACAATAAAGTCTGAGACAATTGATGGATTAATATCAGAAGGGGTTTTGTGGACATTTTAATAATTTCAATGGTTAAGATCATGAGTTAGTTGAAGCTAAACACCATGGGAAACCTGGAAGCACTGGACGACCGTTTCGTCCTATTGTGGGACTCCTCAGCAGTGACCATCCACGACCTCGCCCCCTACGAGATTCGAACCCAGCAGGTCCTGGGTTGATGACCTGGGCTCGATTTATCCATGATAGGATTCATTCAATCTATGCTACTCTAATTACCATTACAATCATTTGATTGTTTATTCTCACTTCCAGTTGTCATAAACAGACCTGTTACGTAACAAACTCGAATTAGTTGTCAAGTTGACTACTAAGGTTCATCGAAATCCTTAACCTCTTTATCTATTGGAAAATGATTATCATTGAATTGTTGTATATCATGTCTGGTTTGTTGAATTCCAATAGATCTAGTTTCATTAATAGAATAATTCGTTCAATTATTAGTAATTACACAAATACTGTGACAAAGTTTTAATGGTGAGAGTATAATTTATGAACGAGCTTTGAGCGATGCTAAACTGATCTTGAGAGTGTTCACCTAATAACTAGGACAAAATGAGGGTTATAAACCAAAACTCTATTTAGCCTAATGGGTGAATTTCGCGCCAAATTATAGTCAACCAGACAGCAACAACGTAGAACACCGTATGTACGTACGTTCGTATATCAGTTCGAGTTGATATACGAAATTAACACAAAAATGAAGTTAGAGATTCAAATCTCATAGTGGTGCGGGTAGTAAAAGTATAAGCAGTAATCGAAAACACTGAAGTTTGAACATGTCATTCAAGAAGTACAATCCAGTCAAATAAATTTGGAAAGAGAACAAAGAAAGACATGAACTCAGAAGATTAGAATTTGGGAAAACACATAGAGTGGATGCAACTGCGCCATTGGAGACGATTTTGAACCATATCGTTCAAGGTCTTTAAACATCAGTTGCTATCGCCTTACGGATCCCAACCAGGTCATCTACACCCACCAATGTGGCTTATCACACTTATCAGTCACTTCATGGATTTGTTCCATGTTTTGATCTGGTCGCCTCTATCTTTCTTCCAACCTACTCCTACACTACAAAACATCGCACGTCGGGGCATTCGGTGGTTGGACATACATCTCAACTGATAAAGTTTCACTACTTCATCAATTGATCTGTCATCCTTATCTAGTACCTATTTCCTAACAACTGTATTACTTACTCGATGTTTCCAAGATATACTTCGAAGACATCTATGATCAAATTCTAGTAAGATATGAATATTCTCATCATGTTAATTTAAAAACTTGACGATTATATACTACTTATTAAATAAGAAATAATTATTTCAATGTTATCAATTTGTTAACAATATTATTATCAATATTTATATGATATTTAATAAATTAAATCTTTATTTAAATCAACCAAAAAAAAGAAAAGAAAAGAACATACTCATCATACACACATGCACTTTAATAAAACTACACACTAGTTACTAGGAAAAAAAACAAAACTGGACAGAACAGTAACCGAAGGTCAGAAGAGAGAGAGTGAGAGAGAGAAAAAAAGATGAAAATGGTGCATGTTCTTCTTTTTGCGTGCGTGCGTGTGTGTGTGCGTGTGAAAAAGAGAAAGAGGAGGAGAAGAAGGTATCGAAAACGACGACGACGACGACGACAACAACAACATACATTATATCCTATCTTTAGAAGTATTGTTTGTGCTGCACCAAAACACATACACACTATTGTAAATGAATAAATTTTATTAGTGTTAACAATAGATGTTAAATAGAAGATGAATAACAGTACTTATAGAATAATGCTTACATATATATATATATAGCAAAGAAGTAATTCTTGTAAATAGGGGATAATAAAGAACAATATAATGTAGGTTACTTTATGAAAAGAAGTAATAACATAAATAATAAACTTTAATTCAATATATATGTATATGATAAGATGATTATGAAAGATTCACTTTTAAAATAATAATGGGAGGAAAAATGTGCACTGACATCATCAGTGTTAACAATAATCAGCAGTAAACAGATTGACGATGGTGTTGGCAGTGACAACAACAACAACAACAACAATACTGCTTGGAAGAAAGATAAGAAATAAGCGGTCACCTATTCAACACACAGAGAAGCGGACACTTACATAATACATCATTTCATTGATTGAAATAGAAATAGATCAACTCAATGAGGAAGACATACATGAACACACACACACAGAGACACGGATACAAGTAAACAAAGAAAGAGACAAGATAATTGAAAGTTTAAATTCAAGAAGAAACCATAAGCAGTGATGTGGATTCTTTTTTCTCTTTGTTAGTCAACTATAATAGAACATATATTGTCCATTACATAAATAATGGTTTATAAGTCCTCGTTTTTCCAATGAAACTTGTACAACAGTAATAACGATGATAAGATCAGTTCGAGCATAGAAGTATCTACTCATGTACGCACAATGCCATACAGCACTATTAATACACAACTGACAGTCACCCATCCACACACACACACACAAACACAAACAAGCACACATTTATATATATTATATACACATAACTCAATGAATCATAAACATTGTGCGATTTGATCTATTTTTATTCTCTTTTCTTTAGAATTAGAAAAAAAGAACCACCACATGGAAGTAGTAGTAGAAGTCAACGTCTCAATGAATGAATAAATAAATCACTGACCAATGTAGTAGAATAATGTCTGTATACCAAACGGTACTTCTACTAATCGTACAGTAATACAGCAATAATAATAATAATAATAATAATAATATTAATAATGGTAAGAGGTTAAAACAAATAAATAAGGAAGTAATAACACCAATTCTATCGATTATATTATTAAATATTATTAACAAATAGTCATAGTTTTAAATAGAATACAAAACAATCAATTAGTACTAATAATCAATAATGATTAGAAAGTTTTAAAAGAAGATAATGACCGGGAATAGAATTACTAATAAATAAACATTAGTAACCACCAGTACACATACTACACATATATATATACATACACACACACACACACACAAATTCAATTTGAATACGTTCAATTATCGAAGTGTATATGTGTAGACAAGACAAAACCAATGTAACTCTCTCTATGTATATATTGATCAAAATTCAAAACACCGAGAAACAAAAAATAAAAAGGTTAATGGATTATAAGAAGAAGGATACTCAAAATAAAATACCTTGACAACAATAACCAATAGATGGTAGGTGTTAACCGGGAATAGTAAAAACTAATCAATCTAATGATCAATCAGTTGGTCAATAAATAGATAGGTCAATAGATAAATCGGTGGGAAAAACAAGTACAGAATAAATGAGAGAGGAGGGAACTGAAATGGAGAGACATAGGAATGAGTAACAGTTTTACTAAAAGACAGAAATATTCATGAATAGACTTGAAAGTATTGTTCTTGTTGCGTGTGTGTGTGTGTGTGTGCATACTTATATACTTTATATGCATTTATGAGTATGTTTGCCTATAATATGCGTACTTTAACCGGTGTCATCAAGAATATTCAATAGTAGATAAATCATAATGAATAAATCGGTTCAAAAAAACAACACAACATATATATCTTACATGATCAATATAAACAACACAAACACATCTTACATGAAATAACTAGATAACAAGAAGATATAAAGACGAATATAAAGAGGACATTCAATGAATGAAAATAGTTAAAAGAAGAAAGTATATTGTACCAATACTAATGAGTGTAAGTGAATGATTGAATCAATTAATTAATTAATCAATCACTTAGCAAAAATGTGTAACAACCCTAATCAGTTGTCAAATGTATAAATATGAAGAGAGAGAGAGAGTTGACTGGCGCATGTAATTAATAAGTGTGTGTGTGTATGTATGTATGTATGTGTATGTGTGTTGTTTGATGTAATCTACAGAATGGGATAGAAAGAGGCGGTGTTAAATTAATCATCATTCATAAATGAATATTTGATATGAACAACAAAGTTTAAATCAACGCATCAATCAAACCGATTATTTGTATAGAAGAGAAAAAAAGATGTTGAACTACGATCCATACTGGTGCCGTTTTGATGATTATGGACTGTCGTTGATGTTGTTGTGTAAGAATATAAAGAAGAAGTTTATCAACACATAGAAACAAATCCGTACACACTTCATGAAAAATAAACACAAATAAACAAACAAACAAACACATAAACACACACACACACACCGGGGTAGTAATAATAATATGAAATACGTGAACAATGATTACTATTAATTCACAAAAGAACACATTACTAATAATATTACAATTATTGATTGATTATTTTTGCTTCAGTTTCTTTATCCGTTACATAATTTACTAATCTAGGATCAGTTAAAAGACGATAATCATTTGGTGACATAGATATGCCAATTTTATCACCAACATGATGTACACATGAAGAATAAACAGTTGGTGTAGAAGAATTTGTTAATATTCCATTGTTGTTAATCTCCCCAGCATGACTTTGAATAAAATGCGCAGTTTGAAGTCTACATCGATCAACTGTATAAATATTACTACTACTAGTAGTAGTATTAGTAGTAGCAGTAGTATTAGTAATAGCAGTAGTGGTAGTAGTATTAATACTATTAGTAGTAGTAATAGTAGTCGGATGAATTGAAGAGTTAGAAGGTATCATACTATTGTGAATATGAGTAGTTTTCTGTTTGACAACATTTTTAATAGGATTGGTATCATCGTTATGCATTGGATTACACACACCGGTACGATTGGGTATATGAACGAAATGGGGACCAAAATTGGAACTAGCAGGAACAATATCTGAATGAACTTTTGAATCACCAAACTCTCCCATTTCTTCTCGAAAACTAGCCAAAGTGGAAAGTATTTCTGCAGTCATAGTACAACTATCACGCCGTCCAGCTGTTAGAGAGAAGAAAAAATACTCAATTTTTTTGTATTACTGAAAATCATTTGAAATAAATCAATCTAGCTTTTTAAATCAAATTACAGTAAGAACCCCCCCCCTCAAATGCTATAGTATAGTCAAGGGTGAGAATAATTCACTCGATCTCTCACACACACACACATGAAATCCTTCTATATAGCTACGTGTTTATAGTTGCTACCACAGAATTTCTACTCATTGCTTCTATGAGGCAGGGATGTTATTTACGAAAGTGAAAAGACGAAAAGACAATGTCCGAATTAGTAGGTATAGAGAATCTACCTAATGGAGTTGGTAAGCCCTGATTCCAAATCAACGGTTTACATAGGCTCCTGGATCTTAAAGGAACGAACGAATGGCATACGAATTTACCACGGGACTGAATTTCATGACGCTGCTCCACTACCATGAAGATTAGTCCGTTTATTCGAATGCTCAAGGGGAATGATCTGTCAATGAAACTACTTGTTTCAGTTTAGGCTCCCTGGAAATATCCTAGATTGCATAAAAATATATCAAGCATTTTATATTTTGGTAACCTGTTGTATTTGGATAAATAATAATAATGTAAAGGTATATAGGGAATAATGTTGAAATGACTCAGTGTATTTGTAACCTGCAATCGATGACTTTGTCTTTTTTAGTCAAGTTGAATAACATGTACAACTGAAATACTTCAATGTTTTTCTGAAGATAATAACACTAGGGTCAACTTCATTAAAGTGGAAGATATATATATATATATATATATATATATATATATATATATATATATATATATATATATATATATATATATATATATATATATATATATATATATATATATATATATATATACATATACTATGGAAGATTGAAGTTGAAATGAGTATTAAAGAATGCAATTAGAAGTAATTCGAGAACTAATTACAAGTATTTATTTATTTAAACGCATAAACATTGGTACAAATGGGCACAAAAATATGTATGCGCCAAACTTCATCACTCGACTAATGTGAAGGATGGGATTCTGTCCGGGTGCCCAAAATGAAAAACAAGTGGTTTTCTTAGGAGGCCACACCCCAATCCATAAAGTAATGGAACAATGTTAGGAGATGCAGTTTCATGGTAGCCAGTAATCAACAGTAGGTTCATACGTCATATATTCACTCAAGATCCCGAAGCCTATGTGCACCAATGATTGAGAATCAGGGTTTTCTAACTCCCTTAGATAGATTCTCTATATCCACCAATCCGGTTAAAGCACCAAACATTCATCTTTCATCCTCTCAAGTTCGTAAACAACATCCCCAACACAGGACAGCAGTGAGTAGGACTTCCCTAGTCAGTGGCCATGTGAGAGCATTTCTACAGGTAAGAGGTGACTCTCCTCATCTTCAGCCACACTAAGGCATTTGGAGGCAAATATACAAGTGTCTTATATAACTCGACCATTGAAACAAACTTTCCACTATATGATAACAATAATGAATGATTTAGAAAAAAAACTCCCTGTCATCTCTTCGAATTACACAAGTTTTTAACACACACACACACACACACATACACACATACGGTGGTCTATTCGGTTTAAAGATGATGAAACACTTCGACAAGGTTTACAACTTTAGTCAATACAATACCTACAACAAAATGTTCAAAATGATCTCCTTTAAATTGTTTAAACCTACAAAGTATTTTTTTCAATTTAGATAATATTATGTAATATGTAATATGTAATATGTAATATCTGTATTATGAATGAATTAATCACTTATACATTCTTCTATATTATTTTAATTGTATTGAGATTAATTTACTAAAATATTTGATATTTTGTAATTGAATGTATAAATGAAGTACAAAGAGTTTAATAATACAATAAAGACAGTTGAAATATAGTTAATAGAATATTCTCAGTATGGAGAGGAGGAGTGGAGGAGTGAAGAATTTGAATGTTACTTAGATGATAAAGCCCACAAATGCCCTGGTACAGTCGAAAGTGGGAAGAGTCAGCTTTCCCTATACAAATACTCTCACATGGCCATGTGCATACAACCACTGACAGGGAAATTCTACTCATTGCCTTTTCGAACACAACGGGTGTTGTTTACGAAATTGACAGGATAAAAAGCGAATGTCCGGCGATTGGTGAACACGGAGAGTCCACCTGAGTGAATTGGAAAACCCTGATTCCAAACTAATGATGCGCATGGATTCCAGGATACTGAATGAACAAATAGTGTATGAACCTATTGTTGGTCACCGGCTTCAATGACACTGCATCTCCTGACGTTGTTCTACTACCTTGTGGATTAGACCACTAGGTTAAAGAATCTGAGTGTAGCCCCCTAAGAAAACCACCGTCTTCGGTTTGGGCAACCGGGCAGTATCCCACACATCTAATTGATGCCTCCTCGTATCAATTTTTATATGTTGAAATAAATCCTGACCGTTGTTGCTACCTTGACGTGGTGGTCGGGCTTGCCTATCGTGATGAAGCAACTGAGCTATACTGGCTGGAACAACCGTTCCTCAAGGTCCTACCATGCCAGACAGGTCGGTTGAAGAGCGGTAAGACTAAAAGCAACAAAACCAAGGTCCGAAGGCGAAGTCGTACTGCTGACTGTACAGAGGTGTGACAGCAGTAAGGTGTTTCCTTCAGACAACCAGCATAACAGCGATGCTGCCTTCCCAAAAGGAGGGGAGGGGTTAGAAAAGGTCGACCCTAAAAATGCACACCTCGCCTTATCCCACGGATATCCGTCTCCGGCGGTAAGGTCTCAACAAGTACGGAGCTAACACAAAAATTACTCATAAAAAGCTCGTGTGTGACCGACCTCAAGCAGCTGTCCCTTGGGCACTGCGGTCACGCTCTCAGGTCACTATGACCACCTCTAATCCAATTTCCTTTTCAGGTACCTCCAGCAGAACCCTTCCACGGTGTGGGCAACCGGGAAGTGATAACCGCCCTCATACCTCTAACAGCACTCAAGACCACTGTATTCAAATTCAACCTAACTCTTCAATTCCTATTATTCCTCTTACATCGACTTTCAAATCTAAACTCCCTCTTTTAGCTTCCTCCTCAAGTGTCACCACAGCCAACGATTCTAGTGCGCAAAACACTGTCCCAGGTCTACTGAAACCCCGCTCCAAACTACACATTGGAGCCTTGAACGTACGCACACTATGCCAAATCGGTCAGCAGGCTTCCTTGGCTAAAACCTTAGAATCTCGTACGATTGATGTATGCTGTGTCTCCGAAACACGCATACAGGATCCTAGTGTGGTCATTCACTTGACCTCACCTCGGCATAACGGAGTGCCGACGAGATACACCCTCCGTGTATCTGGCGACCCGATGGCTAGTTCTCGTGGACTTGCAGGTGTAGGCATAGCACTAAGCATGAGGGCGGAACAAGCGCTATTAGAGTGGATCCCCGTTAACAGTCGTCTATGCGCTGTTCGGCTAAACGGCTCCGTAAGAACTCGGAAGGATAGGGACACACGTCGTTGCCTTTTCGTCGTTTCTGCCTACGCTCCCACTGACTGCAGTTCGGATGAAGTGAAAGATGAATTTTACAGAAAACTCTCTGAACTTCTTCAGAAGGCTAAACGTTCAGACATAGTACTCGTAGCAGGCGACTTTAATGCCTAGGTAGGTAGCTTAAACGAAACAGAAAGACATTTAGGTGGGTATTTTAGTATTCCGGCACAGAGAACAGATAATGGTGATCGTCTGCTGCAACTGTGCTCAGACAACCGTTTATTTTTAGCAAACAAAAACTTTATGCATAAGGAGAGACACCGTCTAACATGGCGACCGAGTGCACCAAATCAACGATGGACCCAAATAGACTATATTGCCATCAGTCATCGTTGGAGAGGGTCGATAGATGATTGTCGCTCATTCTGGAGTACCTGCTTGGACTCCGACCATGCCCTAGTACGAGCACGCATCTGCTTGCGCCTCACTGGACGCAAAAAAGCCACACAAAAAAGACTCATTAGAACCGAATTGAGTAATGAGAAAGCCAAAAGTAGGTTCCAGGAACAACTGAGGTCACACTTAGGTAGTTCTGAAAACGAGGCTGACCCCGATGTTGATTGGAAAGACATACAAGCAGCTGTGGAAACAGCAGTGACATCTACTAGTGATTTAAACCACAGGGTTACAAAGAACCAATGGATTTCTTCAAGGTCTATTGCACTGATAGATTCTCGTAAACTCATCCCATCAGGTTCTGAACACGATGAAGAGCGTAAAGAAATCAGATCTAGATTAAGCAAAAGTCTAGGGAACGATCGTGAGCAGTGGTGGGCAACGAAAGCAAAAGAGATGGAAAAGGCGGCGGCTATAGGGAACACAAGACAACTCTAGAGACTAATAAAAGAAACTGGAATTAATAAATCAAGTGTAAGTCAGACTATTTCGGAAAAAGACGACACTCTCATCTGCTCTCAGTCCAGACGTTTAGAACGATGGGCGGAACATTTTAAGGAGCAGTTCAGTTGGCCTTCAGCTACTCTACAACTACCCTCTATTCCCAGACAGTATGAATGGAACATTAAAGTAGGTCCCCCAACTCTAGCTGAAGTTCAAAAGGCTATAGCTAATCTGAAACGAGGAAGGGCAGCTGGTCCAGATGGATTGGCCCCAGAGGTCTTTAAGGATGGTGGTCTAGTTTTAACAGTTAGGTTGACTAATATTTTAGCTAAAATCTGGGAGTTAGACGTCATCTCATCTGACTGGTCACAATCACTTATCGTCCCAATATTTAAGAAAGTGTCAAAATCATCCTGTGACAACCACAGAGAGATTAGTTTAACTAATATAGTATCTAAAATACTAGCTTCGATAATTTTCGGACGCCTAACTAAGACTCGTGAGCTGCAAACACGTGAAAATCAGGCTGGCTTCAGACCTGGTCGTGGCTGCATCGACCACATATTCACCATTCGTCAGGTTCTAGAACACAGACATACTTATCGGCGTCCGACAATAGTGGTCTTCCTTGATTTAAAAGCAGCGTTTGACTCTGTTGACCGAAAGGTTCTGTGGCAGTGTCTGTCATTGAAAGGCGTACCTCAGAAGTACATAAACCTCGTGAAGGCTCTTTACTCGAACACTACTAGTCGAGTCAGGGCTTATGGCGAACTGTCATCTGCTCTCGCAACCTCAAGTGGCGTCCATCAAGGCTGTCCACTTTCTCCATTTTTGTTCAACTTCATCATAGATCTACTGATGGAAACAACGCTCTCATCGACTGAATTCTCAGGTATTGATCTCATACCAGGAGGTACACTTATTGACTTAGAATACGCAGATGACATAGTCCTGTTTGGTGAAGACGCTGATGAAATGCAGAGTCTTTTGGTAGCACTGAGCAACAATGCTAGAATGTTTGGGATGCGCTTCTCTCCCTCCAAATGCAAGTTGTTGCTTCAGGACTGGTCTGCGTCAACACCTGAACTAAGGATAGGGGGTGAAGTAGTCGAACGCGTTGACAACTTCACTTATCTTGGAAGTCTGATCAGCCCTAATGGGTTGGTGTCTGACGAAATCTCAGCACGGATTTGAAAAGCTCGTTTGGCCTTTGCCAACTTACGTCATCTATGGCGAAGGCGAGATATCCGTCTATCAATCAAGGGACGAGTATACTGCGCGGCAGTTCGTTCCATTCTACTATACGGCTGCGAAACATGGCCTTTAAGAGTAGAAGATATTCGTAAGTTACTAGTATTTGACCACAGGTGCCTTAGAAATATTGCGGGTATCTGCTGGGATCACCGGGTAAGTAATAGTGAGGTTAGACGCAGGGTACTAGGGAATGATGGTAAATCAGTTGATGAGGTTATGAATCTTCATCGACTGAGATGGTTGGGCCACATGTTGCGTATGCCTGAACACCGATTACCACGGCGCGCAATGGTAACCGGTGTTAGGGATGACTGGAAGAAAGTTAGGGGCGGCCAAACCAAAACGTGGCATCAGTGCTTGAAGTCACTAACTTCTGGTCTGAGCCATGTTGGTAGATGTAGACTGCTTGGTTGGGGTCCGCGTGACTATCGTAACCAATGGTTGGAGACTCTTGGTGACATGGCTCAGAATCGATCACAATGGCGTCGGTGTATACACTCTCTGTCTTCCTTTAAACTAAGAGATTAAAATCACTTCAAATCTTTCTTTCTAGGAACTAATTCTTTCTTCCTGTACTATCTCCTTATACACACTCTTTCTTCTATATATTACCACCACTGAATTAACTACCTCTATGAATCCGGTGTTCATCTTGTTGTGCTAATGCGGTATGGCAACTTGGACCGATGCATATACGTGCCTGGTCCTACGTTGCAGCTGACTGACTAATTGACTGACATGTTGAAATAAATCATAAACCGATATAAGTTAGATAACCAATGTAAAACATGAAGCTATTACGTCCTGGTATGCGACTATTGATTAGTGCTCATCTACGATACCAAAGGCAGTAGAACCTAGGACTTGCATTTCTCATTGCGATCGCTTAAGTTTCAGACCACTGAGTTACTATCCAATGATTTACACTTCTAACTTCAATAAATCCGTTATATTACGCAATTATCTTTCATTATCTTCAATAAGTAACGACCCTACACTGGACACTGTTGAACTCCTCTAAAGTTTCATAATACGATCAAAACAGCTATCCAATGTTACTTAATGTTCAATGGTTGTCTAACTTAGGTCGATTAGTATTCGCAATAAATTAAAGTATACTATATAATCTTACAATTTGCTATCTAAAATGGTAAAAAACAAACTACTAATACTACTGCCAATAATAATAATAATAATAATAATAATAATAATAATAATAATTATTATTATTATTATTATTATTATTATTATTATTATTATTATTATTATTATAGCAATCAACATGCGTATGTGTAATCACAAGATTGATTGATCATATGTTCCAAGATCGACAAATCATACTGTATGTAATATTATCATCAAATGTAATAAATTAAATTTATTGATTAAAGCACATAAATATTGATTTATAAATGGGCACCAAAACTTAAATATACGCCATTACAAATAAGAAAATGAAATGATAAAGAGATAGGAAGTAAAGATAAGGGTGGTAAAATTAAAATATATTAATGAATAGAAATATATGAATGAGAATAGATTATATAAAAAGGAGAGATATTTCAATGAGAGAACAAAAGTAAGGAACATTTATTTATTTATTTATTTTAACACATAGGTATTGGTACAAGGAGGCACCAAATACATATGCGCCACACAAATCTCAATTGATTTGTGTGAGGGCTGTGATACTGCTCGGGTGCCCAAACCGAACCAGGTGGTTTTCTTAGGGGGCCACACCCAGAGCCTTTGACCTGAACGTCTGATCCATAAGGCAGTGGAGCATCGTGAGGAGATGCAGTCCCATGGTAGCCGGTGACCAACGATTGGTTCATACGCCATTTGTTCCCGCAGGATACTGGAGCCAGCCCATGTGCACCATTGGTTTGGGGTCCAGTTAAAGCGCCAGACATTCGCTTTTCGTCCTCTCATTTTCGTCAACAACACCCCCGCCACGTGAAGGCAGTGAGTACGACTTCCCTGGCAGGGGCTATGTACGCGTGGCCATGTGAGAGCATTTCGAGAGGGAGAGAGGACTCTCCCCACTCTCGGCCGTACCAGGGCATTTGGGGGCCAAGAAGTTCTTCTTATTTTTATGAATAATGTAAAAGAACTACCATTGGCATTTGTTTTGAGTCATGTCTAATAATATCAAAAGCCATTGAATTGTATCAATCTCTAGGATTTTAATCATTGGAGTTGTGAAGAACGATAGATGTTAGTCTTATACAACTTTCTATCATACCCTGAAACCATATCACAAAAACTGATCACCACATTTGTAGCATATAATCAATCCGCCGAAGATAGTCATACCAAATGAGTTATCTGATTGGAGCTTGAATACATATTGTTGAACTTCCCCACTGAAAACAGGAGAATCTACGGAGATATTGATTATTGGACACAAACAACAAACTAAAAAGTTCAGTTCTAGGAGGCTATGTTTTACAACCATACAGCACATCTGCCCCTTACCGGTGCGTTGTAAACCCGACCTTATACATCCGGATCAAGAGGTGTAATAAACGGCTAAGATTAGTAGAAATCACTCTAGCTTTTATTACATGTAGATTGAATTCATCTGTCGAGCTACCGCCATCAGCACTCATGTAACTAGATGTATGTACAAACTTTTCGATCATTTCTAACATGTTAAGCATAAAGTTGAGATTAATCGACTTGATGACTAGTTATCAATAATTATGATTTCAAAAAGAGAAAAAACAGACAGATAAACGTAACTTTTGATAAATAAACAAACATACTTATACGTACACATACAAATACTTACCAAAATGATTGGTAGACTCATCCGCCTTACAAATTAAATTAGGGAGTTGTAAATATTCATCCAAATCATTATTACCAGTACTAGTGTTACGAAGAAATAAATCATCTGTTGTTGTACTACTGTTACCGCTGCCACTGCCACAAACACCAACACCACTTGAGCCAGTTGTTCCACTCCTAGCAACTCCTCCACTTGCAGTTAACATATTAACGAGATTACCTCTATGTGATTCTGCATGCTGTAGAGGTAAATTGTGTAGATGTGTACCACCACCAAAAGAATAATGATCTTGATTGAAATGAAAACTATGAGATGATGAGGTTGATAGTGAAGAAGATGGATCAATAAGCTCGGAATACTTTGAATTCGTTGTCATTGTATTATTATTTTTACTGGACACACATGGATAAATTGGTTTATTCATTGATTGTTCTAAACTATGAGGATTATAAACACTGGAACGAATTTTCCAACTTTTGTGATGTTTCAATGCTGTATCGACAGTGGAATCCTAGAAAGGTTCATACAGCCGACAATAGGCAAAAAAAATAGTGTCATAGCGGAGACGACAAGATAATTTCAACAATCATATCTTTAATCAAAATTTCTAAATTTAGACAACCTTGAATAATCAGTTCATAGTCCTGCCTCCTACTCCAACTAGTATGAAAAGTAATCTAAAGGGAGATACTGAGAACTGGCCAGAGTAAGTAAGCACTGTGTATCAACCATTGCAATAAACTATTTCGATAGACTTAATCATCAAAATAACTGTAACTGATTACATAGAAACATATTAAGATAAAATGTTAGTTATTAAATTGTGAACGAGGTGACCATGAGTGCCGTTAGAAGCATGAAATCAACCGTCACTTCCTAATTACCGATGCCATGACCGTAGATCCAAGAGGCCAGAGAGACACAGTTATTTTGTGGATAGTTTTAGATGAGTTAGCTCCATAGTTTAAAAGACTTATTGTTAGTGGCAGAAATCAGAGAAATAGGGTGCATTGTGCTAGTTTAAGGGTCAACTCTTTCTAAGCCCTACTTTTCATTGTAGGAAAGTCTCATCGGTCCAAATGCTTGTTGTCTGATGGAAATATTTTACTGCTGTCATACACCTTTACAGTCGCGGAACTACTAGTCATATAACCTAGAGCTCAAACGATTGAGTATATATAGCTTGTTAAGAATTCCTCTCGACAAGTGATAACACGAGCGAGTCTACACCTAGATTTGTGACATGAACAACGTTATTTATGACCACGTAAAACGCATTGAAATCCATTTTAAATAAAGATTTATTTGTTCAAAGTCTAGTCAATATGATGCAGAATCAAGAGGAAAATTATAGTGAGGAAAAAAATAGTTGAAAAATGAAAAACTTGACTTACAATGTTTTTCTTCTCCATAGTACTACCGCTGTTGTCCATATGCGGTCTAAACAGTAAAGAATAGTATTTATACTCAAAACTCAACAAGAAAAGAAGGCTATTGAAATGATAATCATTCATTCACACCGAGTACATAATGTTTATGTTCTCGGTTCTGAGCTCTATTACTGTTTACGCGCGAATGGATACTGAAAACATTACTATGCTGCCTAAATCATCAAAGTAGATGGAATGCAGGTGGTGGAAGTGGAGAGTAATTTACATAGGAAACGGTAACGATTCAAATATGAATGATAGTTTCAACTACTAAGCAGTCACTGAACTAGATCACATTAAAAATATAAGCTTTAATGCGATATATCAACCAGTACAGTGAAAATTACTGAGTTCAGTTACCTACAACCTTATGCAACAGATATGAATTTCATTTGAAGCGAAAGATAATAGATCGGTGACTCAATGAGTACACTGACACAGATGATGTAGACACATCCAGCTAACGAGCCCTAAATCAGACGGAACATATGCCCTTTATTCCACTACTAGCTATTATCCAACTTGAGTAAAAACTTATGAATAAATAAAGGTATTGATATGATTCCTTCAGGATCCACAAATGATACCGATCGACCAATTATAGTACCTTAACATTGACAACAGGAAAATATAAACTCACACAAATTCAATTGATGAATACGCTAATGTGGACAGAAAGAAACGATGTTAAATCGGAAACTATTTTCAACTGTACTAAGAGAAAGAGACAATAAAATGAGTGGAAGCAATCATATGAGAATAGAAGAATAAGACGATGGATATAATTCAACATCTTTTGATTAATCAATGAATGAATCTGGGGCTAACTGAAAATCGATTCAAGTTAGTCCCAAAGGTATTTATTTATTTCATAACAGTACACCTATCGCCAACAAGGAGATTACTTGAATTCTCCCATTGCTTCATATACATACTCAACGTAGAATTTGGCATATATACACACGTTGATTTAAGTTGACACATCACAACAGTAGAAAGAGATGGAATTACCAAGATAAATAACAGAGTAGTAGAAGTAGTAAGACGGTTTGAGAATAAAAAACGAATTTTTGCAATAAAAAAGTATTAGGTAGTTTTGTAACGCCATTACGACTAATTCGGAACCATATCATCCGGAGTCTACAGCCATTGGTTATAATAGTTGTGCGAACCGCAAGCCAGGTAGTTTAACTCCTGTTCACATGGCTCAGTTTAACAACTGATGAGTATATAGACTGAAGGTTTGACCTCTCTTAGCTTTCTTCTAACATACTATTATACTAAAACATTTTTAAAATACCTGTAAATAAACGAATTCATTGAGAAAAGATTTAACACTTGGTGGATTTTGGAAATTCGTAGGCAGTCAAGGACCTTTAAACCAATGAAATATGATCATAACCGCGGGTGACCTGTTCAAGCTTACAACTACAAACCGTAAGTAAATAAATCGGAAAACAGAAACGTACGTGCACATTTTCATCTCACAACCAACTGTGTCAAATCCATTTGATGACTGCGATTCTGTTGAACATGTATAGGGTCTTTTTGCTGGCATTAGGTGAGATTCATTTGTTGGTAGTTCCGTATGAACAAAATGATTATTGTCCAGTAAATGAGTATCACGATGACGTCGAATAATACAAGCACGCTTATTATCTGTATCATCCATAGGTGTTAAAATACTTGAAGTCTCTTCCTCTTCAACTCCTCTCAGTTTACATGCTGGCCTGAAGTAATGATCACTGGACATGATAGACCTAGGACTTAAAACATGTGACTTTTCTGTCTTCCCAGGACCATATGTATATTGTTCAATTGGATTTAATTGAATATCTGATAATGTATGGTGGATAGATGAATCAGAAGCAGTCCTTAGGAGAAATTAAACATTACAACTAGTAATAATATTAAACAAACATGCAACATAAATGTATATGAAGATACCTTTCCTCAATTGGGAACAATAAGAAAACTATTCCGATTCAAAGTCCACATTGAATCAAATGGTAGAATGATTAATCACAAAACATGTACACCAAATTAAATTTATTTAAAGACTAAATATCAATTATAATGACATTTCAATCACTTGAATAGCATTACAAAAATGAATACTTTCTTCAATTGTATTATGATTTAAACGAAATTTTCAAAGTGATATAATAATGGGCAAAATTTTATTTCCTTTAAATTAAAATAAATTTTACAACTTATAAAATATAAACTCATCAACTGTCTAAGACCTGAAACAGTTACAGCTTGGTATATGCTACTTATGTCGACAGACACCGGTGACTAGTTTACTGAGGGAATTCTCAGAGTTCTAGTGAAAAGCTGTGACTAGTGGATTTAATCCATGTCAGGTAGAGACAGGTATCTAACCCAAATGCCCTGGTACGGTTAAGGGTAAGGAGAATCAGCTCTCCATCTAGAAATGTTCTCACATGGCCACACATATACAACCACTAATCAGCGAAGTCCTACTCATTACCTTCATGTGGTGGGTATGTTGTTTGCGAAATTGAGAGGATTAAAAGCGAATCTCCAGTGCTTTAACCGGTTTGGTGGATATGGAGGATCCACCTAGGGGGGGTTGGGGTTGGAAAACCCTATAATTTTGTGTTAAACAATAAATTAGTTGTCTCTTCACCTGAGTTCTCGTTCACTGACAACAGGACACTTTCCTGTTCTGGTGATCTATGCCACAGTGATGAGTAAAGATACTTCTACTTCTCATAATTATATCAAAATAATATTAATAAATAGAATGTTTTTAAACTTGGTAATCAAATACAGGTTAATGAATTCACATTTACATAGGTTACCATTTTTTAATATGGTTGTTAATGATACTGCACAACTGTTCAAGTTAAAGCAAGTGAATAGGTGGTCGAATAGAACTACTGAATGATTACTTAAGTCAAGTTTACAGATGAAAAGAGACAGGATAATAGAATGCTATCGTTGAGAATCCAAAATTGCATGTATTCGAAATAATAATAATAATATCAGTTAATAGGTCGGATTGATCTTAGTTCACCACTGAAAAATTGGAAGCATTGGATGGTCGTCTAAATCCAGCATGGGACTCCTCAGCAGTCCACATCTACGACCCCGTACCTGAACAACGATCCCGGAGCCTTCAGTCTGGGGCGTAAGCGCTTAACCTATAAACCATTGAGTCAGTATCCAACGATGTTAATATCTAACTTCATGAATGAGTACTGCTGAGGAGTCTCATACTAGAATGAAACGTCCGTCCAGTACTTCCAGGTTTTTCAATGATAATCTAGCGAAGATCATTTCGAAGTTGAAATTTTGAAAACATCAAAATCTCCACAAATTCTCTAGACTATTACTACTACGATTGATATTAAAAATAGTAATAATAATGATCAGTTAAAAATGTGTAATTACCTGCGCCAATCAACTACTGAATATGGTGTTTGAGCTTGTCTAATTTGTTCAGTAATATTCGCAGAAAATGGTGCTTTCAATTGATGTTGTAAAGAATTTGTAGGAGGAAAACTTCTAAATCCAATTGGTGTACAAATACCAGCACTAAAATAACCTGATTCACATGTATATTGACTTGAATTAGTTAATGATGATTGTTGTGTAAGTAAACTAGTAGTAGATGCTACTTCAATATTTGAATGTGATGTAGAAAATAAATAAGGATTTGTAGAAATATGTGATTTTGGTTGTAAACTATGATAATATGGTTTAGTATCTGTGAATAAATTAAAATTCTTTTGACTATGATGCTGACTAACAACTGCAACACTAGAACATTCATTATTCCAATTACTGAAAATGAAAAGAAAAAAAAAAGAGAAAGAAAATCAAATTTATCAAGTGTACGTACAGTCAGACTGTGAAGAGAGAGAGAGAAAAAAAAAACATGCAAACGATGGATAGTGATCTTGGTCGAGAACGTGATGAAACTTCATTATTTATTTAAATAAATATTGATACAAAGAAGCACCAAATAGATATGCGCCATATAAATCATTCGATTTGTGTGAGGTCTAGGATACTGCCCGGGTTCCAAAAAAGAAGCAGGTGGTTTTCTTAGGGGGCCACACCCAGAACCTTTGGCATAAAGGTCTGATCCACAAGGCAGTGGAATAACGTGAGAAGATGCAGTCCCATGATGGCCAGTGACAAACGATTGGTTCATATGCCATTTGTTCCTTCAGGATCCTGGAGCCCATGTGCAGTATTGGTTTGGAAGGAGGGTTTTCCAACTGCATTAAATGAACTCTCGGTGTCCACTATCCCGGTTAAAGCGTTTTCTCAATTCCGTAAACAACACCCGTTGTGCAAGAAGGTAGTGAGTAGGACCTCCCTGGCAGTGGTTGAGTGCACGTGGCTATGTGAGAGCATTTGTAGAGGGAGAACTGACTCTCTCCAAACTCAACTGTACGAGAGCTTTAGGGGCAAACGAGAATATTCATTTGAACTGATTTATAACGATAAAACCACAGCAGCGTCACATTATATTGTGAAATAATGAGTAATTTACATTGATAATGTTGATCATTGTTTATACTTTTAAATATGGTTTGTGTACAAATTATTCTGTCTGCTAATTATAGTTTCCTATACATTTCTCCCTCTCATAGGTGTGTCGGGTATGCATATCACAAGTGTGTATAGTATTTATTTGTATCGAAATCGGACTATAGTGAAACGTAACACAACTGGTGACCAAAATGAGATGCGATTACAGGAATATGATCTCCAAATTCATCTAGCTTATCTTATCAGGATACTATGAATGATATAGACTAGAAAAGTTAAGTGTTCTGAGTTCACTGTGAGATGTTTCAAATTCTATCACAACATAACTGATGAAATCTTCCATCGAAACACAGTAGTCAAAATACCTAGCTAACTAATTTATTTTTAGTCTAGGTAATAGTGGACAGTAAGAAAAATATTATTGTAAATTTGACAAAAGTGAAAATTTTAATAGTCGAGATTATGAGTCAATTGAAGCTAGACCATAATGGAAAATCTTAATGCACTGGACGGTCGTTTCATCCTATTGTTGAACTCCTCAATAGTGCGCATCCACGACCCGGCCTCGTGAGATTCGAACCCACAATAAGACGGAACTGTCGTTCCGTGCTTACAGGTTTTCCATGGTGATCTAGCTTCAATTGACTTATGATCTTAACTATTATTCTTACTATACTATCCACAAAAAACCCTTCTGACAAGAGTGGAAATCTTTTAAAATATCTTTAGATTTTTAGACTGTTTACAATCTAATGTCTTTTTGTTAATTTTGTAATCACCACTAATTAGATGACGACTTTCACGTGAAATGGGTCAGTTTTTCATCATGACACTACCGAGGAATTTGTAATAAATAAATGAGGTGCAGAAAATATTTACTGCAACCAAACAGAACGCCGTTTTCTAAAATCAACTGACAATAGAAACCATCAATAGAGATAAACTGTGTGAATTCAGCACATCCAAGTGTATTTACCAAATCAACTTCACCTGTGGAGCCCGTTATATAGAGTGTACAATTCGGTAAGTCCGTCATCGAATAGCAGAACACCAGCCATCATGGTTGAGCAAACAGGTAAGAATAATCAAGAGTTCTATTCTCGCTCAATTGGTGGACACAGGATATCACGTCGACTTGAATAAAGCTTTTAAGGTTATCTACTATATCCCATTAAATTTACTACGTGGTTAACGGGTTCGTCTTTTGAATACTGATGAAGCTCTCAGAATCCATGTTTGCAAACCTAACCTCTGCATAAAAAAGAAGTTTGTACAACCACGCTCGTTACCTTGGCCATCGGTATAGGGGTGAGTTTTTAGCTGAAATTTGATTAAGTGCTTTATTTAAAAAATACTCAATCAAATTTCTAATTTTCAGAATAGTTGAGGAGCGACTAAGGTTAGACACTAAGACCGTTGGATGCTGGTTCAGTGATCTAAAGATCGAGTCTTAGCGACCAAATTTCCTGGGCTCGAGTCCCAGGTGTGTGATCGTGGATGCTTACTGCTGAAGAATCCCACAATAAAATGAATCACCATCCAGTGCTTCCAGGTTTTTAATAGTGGTCTTATATCGATTCATAATTTCAGTGAAATTTTCTAATTTCTTTCACTTTTGTATTTTTACATATTTTCAACATATCTTTTGATTCTCACATTACTACTATAAGACTGACATTTCATCAAAATAGTTTGTTAGTTCTTTTTGTATATTATGCAATGTACCAACTGTTTAATTTCTCAAATAATTACTTTGATCTTCTTTCTTCCAGTTGCTCAATATTATTTTTATAATCACTATAATATCATATAATTATTATTATCAGAAGGGGTTTTGTGGAGATTGTAGTAATTTCAATGGTTAAGATCATGAGTCAGTTGAAGCCAGACCACCATGGAAAACCTGGAAGCACTGGACGGCCGTTTCGTCCTATTATTGGACTCCTCAGCAGTGCGCATCCACGACCTCGCCCCCTGCAAGATTCGAACCCAGGACATAATGGTTTCGCACGCGAGCACGTAACCACTAAACCACTGAGCTGGCCGGCATCCAACGGTGTTAATGTCTAACCTCAACTAATCAACGAAATTGAGCGACACATCCACCATTGTCTTCAGTGAGTTACTATCTCACAACAGACCTGGTTGAACTCCACTGGTCACCACTTCTCACTAGAACTCCAGGATATACCACTTGAAGCCAGTCACTAGGGAGCATATGTTGATTATTATCAGAAGGGGTTTTGTGGAGATTGTAGTAATTTCAATGGTTAAGATCATGAGTCATAATTATTACACAACGCAAATACTCGATGACTATTATTTTATTATTGATTGAGATCATGAACCGATTGCTGTAAACCACCTTTCAAAAATCTGGAAGCACTGGACGAGCGCTTCGTCCTATTGTGAGTCTCTTCAGCAGTGCGCATTCACGACCCCGCTAGCAGGATTCGAGCCCATGGCCTTCAGCCTCGCGCGCAGACGCTTGTCTAATATTAACCGATCCACGAAATTGTGCGACCATCTTCCGTTGCACTGAGGTAGATACCTATCTCTACTCGACACGATTAACTAATCCTACAATAGGACAAAACGGCCGCCCAATGCTTCCAGGTTTTCAATGATGGTCTAACATCAATCGGTTTATGATTTCAATTGATAACTTATTAATCTCCATAACCCTATACTGATTATTATTTTATTGTTGTAAATTATATGTATACATTAGTTTCTCATACGTATCTATAATTTTGATAGTACAGTCTGCTAAAACCTAGGACCAGGCACATATATGCATCGGTCCAAGTTGCCATACCTCATTAGCACAACACCAGATTCATAGAAGTAGTCACTTCAATGATGGTAATATATAAAAGAAAGATTGCATATAAAGATATAGTACAGGAAGAAAGAATTAGTTCGTAGAAATAAAGATATGAAGCGATTTTAATCTCATAGTTTAAGGGAAAACAAAGAGTGTGTACACCGACGCCATTGTGATCGATTCTGAGCCATGTCACTCAGAGTTTCCAACCATTGGTTACGATAGTCACGCGGACCCCAACCAAGTAGTCTACATCTACCAACAAGAGTCAGACCAGAAGTTAGTGACTTCAAGCACTGATGCCACGTTTTGGTTTGGCCGCCCCTAACTTTCTTCCAACCATCTCCAACACTAGTCAACATTGCACGTCGTGGCAATCGGTATTCAGGCATACGCAAAACATGGCCCATCCATCTTAGTCGATGAAGATTCACAACCTCACTAACTGATTTAACATCATTCCCTAATACCCTGCGTCTAACTTCACTAAAACCTACAAAAGTATAAAAAAAAGTAATGGATAAGAGTATTATACAAATTTCTAGACTGCCATAATTAAAACTAGATAGACGATGAGATTTATCATACGGATAAATTTAAAGATAACACGTAAATTGGAAAAATACAACGAAGGAATCAAAGAAAAAAGAGATGATCAACTAACATAATCATGAATAAAATTTAGTTGAAAGTTTCTATTTAATCAACGATTTTTTTTTGCCAGAATTCAACTAGAGAGTTAATTGGAACATCGACATCGTTATTGATAATGTCTAAACAAATTTTTATGTCGGGACTCATTATGAATGCTTGATGTTTGAAGATAGAGTGGTGGTGCCAGAGTCCCTACGATCAAGGGTACTGAAGCAGTTCCACATTGGTTATCCTGGTATAAAACGATAGAAATCCATAGCCAGAAGCTATGCTTATTGGCCCCTTATGGACCAACACATCGTGGATTTAGTGGGTAAATGCACGCAGTGTCAGCAAGCGGTGAAATGTAACGCGAAAGTGCAGCCGGTGCCGTGGTCTCAGCCTGAATATCCCAGTCCAGGATACATGTCGATTTTGCTGGTCCAATTAAAGGAACCATCTACCTAGTCATTGTTGACGCCTTTTCAAAATGGCCAGGAATTGTTTCGTTTGCAGACTAAGTGAACTTGTAATAGCTTCACATATAGCACAAGTATCCATACAAAATACTTAATTAAAAAATTAATTGATAGATGGAAAATGAAATTAACAGTAAATCATTGGGATCTTAAATATGAGTTTTGTAGATATTATTTTCATTAAAAGTGAGACTTTTGAGTCATACTGATGTATATAAGCGGATTCAACCGAAGCATTCTTTAACGTCTATATCTCTAGTCATAGACTTTAGAATTCAATCAACACGGTGAAAGGGAAAAGTAAGAAGATAAGTAATGATAATAGTTTGTTTATATGCTATTTG